TCATTCTCTCTAAAACAGGCAATTATTTAACAATAGTTTTGCAAATTATCTCTAGATTAATAGATGTTCTAAAGCAATTTTTTTCTACTTTTCAACTGCATTTTACATTCAATGTTATGTATATCAGTTTCATGTGTACAGCATAGTAGTTAAACAATCATATACTTTACAAAGTGTTCCCTCCAATATTTCCAGAACCCACCTTACCATACAGTTATTACTAGGGGCCCAGTGCACAAATTCGTGCACATTAAAAGGACCTGTGGGCTGTGAGGCTGTGGTGGGCACAGGGATGGGTCTCGGCCCATCCTCCGTGCCCCCACCCAGTTCCTCCAGCTGCGGCCCCTGGTCACCTGTCTGCCAACAGCCCCGCTCCTGCCAATGCCATTCCCATGCACTGATGGCACCGACCCCACTCACACCTGCTGATGGTGCAGAGCGATTAGGGCTGGCTCCAGCAGCGGGTGGGAGCGGGGCTGGCGCTCGCTGTGGGTGCGAGCAGGACCTTCGCCAGCAGCAGGTGCAAGAGGTGGCTGCCACCCCGATCGCCCTGCAGGAGCAGAGGGAGGTGGAGAAGCCCTGAGGGGTGATGGGGGCTGGCAGGCGCTGCTCACATTCGCTGACAGTGCCGAACGATCGGGGCCAGTGCTGGGCACCAGTTGTGGGAGCAAGTGACCGCTCCCATGGCAGGAGCAGGTGTGAGCGCCGAGCGGGACCACGACCCACGGGAGCAAAGGATTTTCAGTAACCACCAGTGGCTTGCCCTGATGACAGCGACTGGTGCCCTGCCTTGGTCTGGCGCCCCACTCACCTGCTCCACCCTCCCACCATGACCAATGCCTGCCATGTTCCATGCTCTGCCACCTGCTGCCGACACCTGCCAAGTTCCGCGCGCACCCCCTGGTGGTCAGCGCACATCATAGTGAGTGACCGGTTGTTTGGTTATTCAGTTGTTTGGTTGTTCTACTGTTTGGTCTACTTGCATATTAGGGTTTAATATATATAGATTATTGGCTACATTCCCTATTCTGTACTTTACATCCCCATGACTAGTTTGTAACTACCAATTTGTACTCCTTAATCCCTTCACCTAGTCCTCCAGTCCCCCTCCCTCTGGCAACAACCACTTTACTCTCTGTGCCTGAGTCTGTTCATATTTTGTTCATTTATTTTGTTCTGTAGATTCTACATATAAGTGAAATCATATGGTATTTGTTTTCCTCCGACTGACTTATTTCACTCAGCATAATACCGTCCAGGTCCACCCATGCTGGTAAGATTTCATTCTTTTATATGGCCAACTAATATTTTATTGTATATATGTAACAAACTTTTTTGAAATATTTTTTTATTACAAACATGAATAATTTAAAACAATTTTATTTTTGCGTTTGTGTTAAGGTGGTAGAATTAATCACAAATCAAATTCAAAATGTACTTCCAGGTGCTTTAGTGACACAACTTTGACCCCAAACACTCAACTCTTCACAAAGTTTTCATCAGGCAAACATGGCAGATATTATAAAAATGGCCAAAGTCAGTAAAGACATAATTGTCTGGCTTCATAATAAAGATAATGATAATAGATCCTACTGAACTCTTACCAGGACTAAGCCCTGTGCTAGACATTTTGAAAAATAGGGTTTGAAAAATATAATTTCCCCTACTTTACCAGAAGGGGATACTGAAGCACAAAGAGGCTAATTAACTTGCCCAAATTCACAGTTTGTAAGTGGCGGAGGTAAGGCTTGAACCCAGGCAGTCTGAATTCAAGGCCCATACCCACAATGACTCCACAGTGGAGCTAAGACTGCCAGTAACTCATGGGTTTTATTCTGGGTTTTCATATTCTTTATTTGAAGGGTTTTTAAAAAACATTCTGGTTTTTAATTTTTAAAATACTTTTCATTTTTATTATGTCATATTATAGCTTTACATTGAAAAGTAAAAAAGGTGATAAATCAATTTCTAGTATTACTGTACTTCATTTTTATTTCTATAAAAGGAAGATAATAAAAGTGTTTTGTACTACAGTATAGGAAAACATAGGTATGTGGTATAAATGGAATAAATCTTAATAATATTAAATTCTCAGTGCAGCTCTGAAAAAGAAGACATACTTTATGACAATGAACAATAGAGGGAAGTTTGATGGCAAGTTTAAAACAATATTAAATTGAGTTTATAGTCTGTGTTTCAGACCTTTAGAGGAAAAGCACTTCAGACCAGAATGATAAATGGGTCTTTTCAGTCCTCAATTTTTCACTTGTTACTACCTATCATAGGCTCTTTATTACAACACTATTTCTAGACTAAAAATAAAAAACAGAGACCTGGTGATATTTTTATCAATTTCTACCTGCTTCAGATATTTAGAAAAAAATTGTTAGCTGAGATTTTCAGAAAATCATCCTCAAATCAACCCAATCTGCTTTCTTCATGTTCCCTTTAGTTCTCAACATTTCAAGATAAATATTCAGCAGTTGTCAATCTTTAAAAGTAAGAGAAGCTCAACATGGTGTTTAGTCTCAGAATGTCTACACTGTGAAAAAATGGAAGACAAGTCAAAAGACAGAGCGAATGCTATCAAATAGCCACATTTTAAAAAGGGGTGGGGGGAGACCCTTGGTTGAGACTTTTGATTTTGGTGGTTTTTACATTATAGAATCCATTTGACCAAAATGTCTATGTAAAAGATTGAGCCAGACAGATATTTCTCCTCTTCTAACAGTTAGTATTTCCACATAATGTATGTTGGTTTGAAAATATCTTTTTAAAAATATGAATGTGTTAGAACACAGTAAGTAAAATGTCGTTGTTCAGCTAGGTCAAGTTGAGGAATTATGTAAGTTTAGTAGCAGCAAGACATTCAAGCATTCATCGGTTTAATAATTTTAGTAAGTCAGTTAGAAAATCTATCCCTGTTTCTTATTTGTAATGTTTGGGGAATGAATGTGCTGATAATTCTTTCGCAACTCTCGCATGCATGCAGCAGGGCTGGTTTTAGGCTTGGGACCCTATGAGGTACTAAAGCAAGCATTCACTCTCTCACACTTGAGGTCACAAATTTTTGCAAGTCAAAAATGGTGAGCATGCCAAAAACATCACAGCACACACTACCAAATAAAAGAACACTGTTATTCTTACAAGGAAAGGTTTGACAAGACAGGAAATAGGCAGGGTCAGCGAAGTTTACTTAATACTGAGACTTATTTAACCATCCTGAAGCCAAAATACAATGACAGTTAAAAAAAATAAACAAATAGCTGTTACACAAAACAAAACCCCAGGATACATGGTCTCTACTGGAGCTGATTATTAGATTTAGAGCAAATACAGGAAGTGGATAACCCCAGGGAGCCCTCACAGAATTTCTAGCCATCTTCCCCATTTACTTCTGTCACATGCCTTTCACTGAGATAATATGGATTAAAACAGTTTTAATTTCGTGAGTAGAAATATGAACCCAAACAAAAATTGGCCTTAAAAATGCTCCAAAATAATTTCAGGAAAGGGCAAGACTTTTAAATGGTACATTCTCCTAAAAATGGGGAGAAAGAAAAAAGAAAATGGAAGATAGGAAAAATGTAGCTGTTCCATTACAATTTTTCATTTTTTTTTTAAACACAGCAGGAGGGCAAAGCTGCTGGCTTCTCTTCATCCTCCCAGATGCCAGGAGGGATTGTGCAAAGCCCCGCAACCACCCCGGTTTTCCTTAAAGTTATAATCATTGTTCTCCTGTAATGACTGCTGCCTGCTTTCACTCAAATGTTACTGCAGCTTGTTTTCTGCCAGTCTGGACCCTCTGGGAGCCATGGACTCATAATTGCAGATAAAACTGTTTGTTTTCTTTAAAAGAACTTTATGTACCACATTGACAAAAAAGCAAACATCAAGTGACATCTAGTGGATGTCTCTATTATTTTCTAAAGCCTCTAGCAATATTCTCCGCAATAGGTTGTCTTAATATTGCTTATAATTTTTGTTTCTCAGAGTCTCTGTCTTTTCCTAAAACAGAAAGGCAGATTATCCGATAGAAAAGATGTCATTTTCTTTGGTGGAAGGAAAAAATATTCTCTTCCATTAGCATATGAATAACAAGTCTCAAGATAAAATATTCTGGAAATAACTCACCTGTAACACATGCTACAAGTGTGCAAAAAAGGTGTATTCAACATGGGACACATTTGGGCCATTATCAACTATGTCGATGGTTCTTAGATAATGAAATATCAAGTACCAAGTTTCTCTGTTTATAAAGTTAAAGGTAATTACTAATCTGGCAAATCTATCTTTAGTCCAAGGAAGAGAACTAACCTGAAATGCTGTCTATGCTAGCGTGTCGCTTTTACCTGAATGGGGTGTTTTGTAAAACTGGGGCAGAATTCCTTTTAGGGTGAAAACTGATTTCTTTATTTTTAGGGAGTCAGCACACCATTCTCATGGGCTACCCAGGTATTAAAGTGGGTCCCAGAGGCCAGGGCAGCCTGGTTAGGAGGAGAGGCAGGAAGACTCAGAAGTTGGGGGGGAGGTCCCCAAATGCGGTAGGAGGCTAATGGGAGAAGGGGTGGGAGCCAGTGGGAAAGCTCCTGCATCAGGGATCACCAGGGAACGTATTCTTTTAAATATTTATTATGCAAATTTCAATCAGATACAAAAGTAGAATGCATAGTATGGTGAACCCCATGCACTCAGCACTCACTTTCAGCAATTAGCAACCCGCAGCTGATTTTATTTATTCCATATCCCTACGTACTCCCTCATTCCCAACCCCCAATAAATTATTTTTTTAATGTTGAGATTAAATTTACTGAGGTAACATTGGTTAATGACACCATATACATTTCTATCTTGTCCCCATTTTCCATTGTTGTTTGTTTCTGTTGTCATTTCCCCCTTGAGAATGCTGGGGAGAATTATGTGAGTATCTAGGTCCACTTTCCATAACTTCTGGTAATGTTTGCTGGTTCACCACAAGTTATTAAAGAAAAGTAACTTACCCAGGGTTACAGAAAGCAGCTGAAAACTTAATTGGGGTTGGGACTGTTTAACAATTCCTCTCCGGCGATTGCATGTGCCTGGAAGGCTTTGTGGAGAATAAATGCCTTGCGTTGATGTCTAGAGACTGCATTTGCGGAAGAGACAGAAAGGGAAATTGTTGAGGGAAAAATTGAAAGATGGTGTTTAAATTTAGTATTTTCTTTTCTTTCAAGGAAAGGAAACTTGGAATATGTAACCCAGATGTCAGCTGTCTGGCTGTCCCCAAGTCTTCCAGTCTTTTAGAGTTATTCTTCATTTCAGTAATTACACACACACACACACACACACACACACACACACACACACACGGGCCTGCATGCAGCCTTCCTCTAATTTCCTATAGAAACTAGCATCCAAAAAAAAAAAAAAAGAAAGAAACTAGCATCCCCTCCTTCCCAAGAATTCACAGAAGCTCTGCATCAAGCTTCGTAGGACCGTCTTGTTCTCCACCCACTTTAGCTGGAATGCAGGCATTGTTGCCATTAGCCCCCCTCCGAAGACCGCTGGCACTAGAGCAGTGTACGGGGCCATCTTTATTGAAGTTTGGGTAATAGGAGGGAAGAGACATCATGGCTCAGCAAACAGATTAAAGCGTGATCCATGCAGTGATACGATGTCTTGGATTTGTTTCAGAACAATTCATTGTGGGAATACTACTCAGCCATAAAAAAAGATGAAATGTTGCCATTTGCAACAACATGGGTGGATCTTGAGGGTGTTATGCTAAATGAAGTAAGGCAGGAGGAAAAGGACAAAAAATATGATTTCTCTAACAAAACAAACAAAAGCTAACTCAGATTTCAGGTAACACAATGGTGGTTACCAAAGGGGGGGTGAGTGGAAGGGCAAACTGGGTAAAGACAGAAGAAAACTAGACTTTGGGTGGTGAGCATGCAACAGAGTACACAGGTACTCTGAGTTATAATGCTGTGTACCGGAAATGTATATGGTGTCATTAACCAATGTTACCTCAGTAAATTTAATCTCAACATTAAAAAAATAATTTATTGGGGGTTGGGAATGAGGGAGTACGTAGGGATATGGAATAAATAAAATCAGCTGCGGGTTGCTAATTGCTGAAAGTGAGTGCTGAGTGCATGGGGTTCACCATACTATGCATTCTACTTTTGTATCTGATTGAAATTTGCATAATAAATATTTAAAAGAATACGTTCCCTGGTGATCCCTGATGCAGGAGCTTTCCCACTGGCTCCCACCCCTTCTCCCATTAGCCTCCTACCGCATTTGGGGACCTCCCCCCCAACTTCTGAGTCTTCCTGCCTCTCCTCCTAACCAGGCTGCCCTGGCCTCTGGGACCCACTTTAATACCTGGGTAGCCCATGAGAATGGTGTGCTGACTCCCTAAAAATAAAGAAATCAGTTTTCACCCTAAAAGGAATTCTGCCCCAGCTTTACAAAACACCCCAGTCAGGTAAAAGCGACACGCTAGCATAGACAGCATTTCAGGTTAGTTCTCTTCCTCCTCCTATTTGTATTCTAACTGATAATTGTCTAACAAGGGCTGACTCAGGGAGTTATAACAGGACCCAGTAGGTTAGTCTTGGGGAGAAAGCACAAGTCAATGCGGCGAATAGGTGGTTGTTTTGCATTCTAAATAAACGATATGCAAGGCAGCCCTGCCTGGTGTGAGCAGCCCTTGCTCTGGATGGTGGCCTGCTTGATTCCAGGTCAGGGCACATGCCAGGGCTGCAGGTTTGGTCCGTGGTTGGGGTCCTTATGGGAGGCAACTCATCGATGTTTTCTTCTCTGTCTCTCCTTCCACTCTCTCTAAAATCAATGAAAACATTTTTAAAAAGACATTGTGTCATACATAAATAAAACTCTCTTCAAATAAACCATATAACTTTCCCTCAGCTACTCATCTCTACTGCAGTAGCCCAGCGGCAGGCAGCTAGCACAGCCAGCCCAGCCGAGGTGCCCTGAACCCCCATGCATTCCCGTGAGACGGGAGAGAGGACCGAGGGCGGGCGGCCCAGCCCGATTAACCAACCTTTCTCCTATCTGAGCATCAACTGGCAGCTGCTCCTTTAACTTAACTTTGTCTACTTTGGCCTAAAAAATGCAAGCTTGCAGCCCTGAAGTCAGCTGAGGTGAATGTTCACCACCACCCCCTCCGCCACCCCAAAGGTGTGCTTCTTAAAGTGAGGCAGAGAAGTTATGTACGGAAAGCCGTGTTTCACTTCAAACACATGGGGGGGAGACGGGGAGAGTCCCTCTGGATTACACTAATAATGTAAAGGTGGGACTTGTGTCTGCTATCCCCCCCCCTTTTTTTAAATATATTTTTATTGATTTCAGAGAGGAAGGGGGAGAGAGAGAGAGAGCGAGAGAGAGAGAGAGAGAGAGAGAGAGAGAGAGAGAGAGAGAAACATCAAAGATGAGAGAGAATCATCGATTGGCTGCCTCCTGCACGCCTCCCACTGGGGATAGCCCACAACCCAGGCATGTGCCCTGACCAGGAATTGAACCGTGACCTCCTGGTTCATAGGTCGATGCTCAACCGCTGAACCACGCAGCAGGCTGTCCCCTTTCAACATTTCCTGGAGGGAGGACAGGGACTGAGCTTTTCAGGGAGGGAGGGAGAGGGAGCTGTGGCTTCTGCAGCCACTTGCCAAACGCCTCTGATCAAGGGACTGGGAAAAGTGGATGTGTTACGGTTGGCCTGTGCCCTTGTCCCCAAGCACATGTGAGACAATGTCAGCACTTACTTCTGGCTCTAAATTGCAAAAACACTTCCTCTCTTTCTGCCAGGACCATTCTTCCTCCCACTCACCCCCGGAGTCCGACACAGTTTCCATTCCAAGGAGACCTGGTAATGATTCCAAGGAGACTGGCTAACATGTTCCCGTGACAGCGCTGGCGGGCGGCGAGAGAGGGCACGGGATAAGTTTAGGCTGAAATGAATTAGGAAACATTTTCAAGTTACTCTTTGAAGCTTTTATTGCCTTATCATCAAACAGCTTCTCTTCTGTGGCTGTATATTGATTTTTTTCTGACGATGAAAAAGTGTTTCATCTCTTCTAGGATAATCAAATAGTCTCAGTTAACGGTAGCCTTCTTTTTTCTGAGTCATATTATTCCACATATAATAGAATTATCCCACAGGCCCCATCTCCCAGGACTGCCATTCAGCATTAGTCTCTTTCTAATATTATTTTTCCTATCACCCCCCCACAATAGGACGTCTCCGTTCCAAACATACAGCTGCAGGGGATTATATCATTATTTGCCTTTGCTCTAGTCAAAGTATTTTATGGGAGCTTCCTGTCATTTGTCCTGATCTATGCTACTATTTATCAAAACATCACCTCTGAAATTGCCTGCTTCTCTAAGGTGCCAGAAAAATATATTTCATGTCAAATACAAGTTAAGCCATTATAAATCCCACTGGGGTTTCAAAACGGGGCACATTTGGGATTTTATTTTCCTCTAAGAATAATGCCCTTCCTAATACTAAGTCAATGGACTTGTAGATGAGTATACTGTCATAATATGTCCCCAAAGCCCCTGGCCCATTAGAAAATAGTCACAAAAAAATGTGTTTCTTTCCTTCATGCTTGTGCGGTGTATGAGAAGGCTGACCTCATGTTTGATTCAGTGTTCATACCTGAGTGGGAAGTGGGTTAATATCTTTCCTGGGTGGAAAAGGAGGTATTAGACCCAAATCAGGAACTCTGGAGTCTAGTCCTACAACTGTTGTAGTTTAGTAGTTCCCATGACATCAAGCACATCTTAGCCTTCCTTTGTCTCAGGTAGTCATTTGTAATCTTACAATGTCTTAAGTCACCCTAGAAAGATTATTTACAACTTCACCTTTGCATTTTCTTGCTGTCATTTCCATCCATCATCCCTTTGCCATCCTCTGTGCTCACTACCTGGTGTTTTGACAATGGCTTCTTGAACTTCTTTGTCACAGACATTTAGTTTAATAGCAATCTTGTCAAAGCTCAGCTCTGATGTTTTGTTTTTCAGAGAGGAAAAAAGAGGGAGAGATAGAAACATCAATGATGAGAGAGAGTCATTGATCAGCTGCCTCCTGCATGCCCCACACTGGGGATTGAACCCACCACCCAGGCATGTGCCCTGACCATGACCTTCTCGTTCATAGGTCAACACTCAACCACTGAGCCACGCCAGCTGGGCTAATCTTACTTTTTGCTCCAAATTATTCCATGGCTGGCCATTGCATCCCTGGTGTTTAGGGCCCTCCAAAGTGGACTTGCAACGTACCATTCCAAATAGTTAGCAATTTCCTACACGTCCTTTATACTCTAGTCTATTTGAACTTTGGTTTTGACAGTTTCTGAATGTGCCTTCTTTGTATTTTCAAGGCATATCACATACCACACAGATTTCTCTATTTGTCTAGAATTTAGATGGCAACCTTCTAGATAATAACCTTTCCAAGGATAGTTGCTAGCATTTATTGACCAAATATTTTTCCCCATGGACTGTGTGAGATATTTTACATTCATCATCTCTAGATTTTCTAATAATGTTAGGTGGATAGTATTATCTGTATTATTCAGATAGGAAGTCATAGACTCAAAAGTGGTTAAATGATGTCCTCAAGCAACACAGCAAGCATGTGACTACTCACATCTTAGTTGTTTGACCTGTATCATCTAGAAGAACACTAAATGGAATAGTAGTCAATAATATTGTAATACCTATGCACAGTGCTAGGTGGGTACTGGACTTATGGGGGATCACTTTGGAAGTTATATAAATGTCTAACCACTACACTGTACATTTGAAACTACTATATACTAATATTTAATGTCAACTCTAACTAAAAAAATAAACAAACATAAAAACACTAAAGTGAATGAATCATGATGCTGGCACTTGCCCAGCAAATGTAGCTGGGCAAAGTTAAACATGAATGAATGTAAAATGATGTTTTTATACCTTTAATGCAGCCCCTTCACTTTAGATAACTGCCACCAGGTGGCAGTGGTTCGCTACAGCCGTAAAGTCTGGTCTCAAGATTTACAAAAAACGGAATAGGAGAATAGGAAAGGTCAGGGGAAATTATTTGGTGCACCTCCTTATTTTATGATAAGAACACTGAGAATCTGTAAGGCTATTCAAATTATTCAGATCTTTTAGTTAGTCAAAGAGCAAAACTTAAACGTGGGTCTAAAACTCCCAAAGCTAGTATTTCTTCATTATACACACTTGTGTATTTTTTTTCTTCAAAACTTACAATTTATAGTTATAACTTCCCCATATTTTCAATATTAAAATATTCATTAAAATAGCAAATGTGATCAAAATTAAACAAAAAATTTATTATAAAAATCTAAGCATTTCAAAACAAGTAATATGGCTTTCGTGTAAAAAAAATGTTAAAATATAGATAATGCAAAAAAAGGAAAAAATTACATTTCCAACAACTAGAGATAATTATTATTGGGTATATATTTTCCCAGAGGCTTTTTTTACTCATCTGCAAAACCCATTTTAAAAAATTAGACATAATTTTATTTTAAAACTAGAGGACTGGTACCCAGATACATGCACTGGTGGGGGGCATGGCCTGCGGGAATCAGCCTGCTGTGGGAGCGCTGCTCACCCCGGTCAGTCGAGCAGATGTGGACCCACCCTCTGAGTGGCTGCTCCCACTGTGGGAGTGCACTGACCACCAGGAGGCAACTCCTGTGTTGAGCGTGTGCCCCCTGGTGGTCAGTGCACATCATAGCGACTGGTCGACCAGTCATTCTGGTTGTTCCACCCTTCAGTCTCTGGGCTTTTATCTATACTAATAAAAGAGTAATATGCTAGTTAGACCAGGAGACCTTCCAGACATCCTTCCAGGCAAAGATGGGGGCTTGGCCAGCCTGCAAACTGCCCCCATACGGCCCTCAGCCCTTCACCCAGGCCGGCCACGCCCCCCAGCAGGGACCTTCACCCTGATGGGGGCGTGGCCAGCCTACAAATGGCTCTTGCCCAGGCTGGCCACACCCCCCAGCGAGGACCCCCACCCTTGATCTGGGACCCCTTTCAGGGCAGACCAGCCGGCCCTCACCCATGCACCAGGCCTCTATCTATACTAATAAAAGGGTAATATGCTAATTAGACTGGGAGACCTTCCGGACATCCTTCCAGACAAAGCCATGGTGGCGGGGCCGAGGCAGAGGCAGTTAGGGGCGATCAGGCCAGGAGGGGAGGGCAGTTGTGGGTGATCAGGCCAGCGGGAGCGAACGCAGTTGTGGGTGAGCAGGCTGGCAGGCAGAGTGGTTAGGGGCAATCAAGCAGGCAGGTGAGCAGTTAGGAGCCAGCGGTCCTGGATTGCAAGAGGGATGTCTGACTGCCGTTTTAGGCCCGATCCCTGTAGGGACATCCACCGAGGGGTCCCAGAGTGGAGAGGGTGCAGGCCAGGCTGAGGGACACCAGCCCCACCCCCATGCACGAATTTCGTGCACCAGGCCACTAGTATATATAGATTAGACATTTTTCTTTACTCATTTTTTAAAAATTAGATACAAACCAAGACATAATGTAATAACTTGTTAATCAAATTAATCTTAAATTTTCTCTATAATCTTACTTTTATAAATAGACATTTTCTTTAGGGAACCACCTGAATCTTTTTATTTTATTTTTTAAATATGTTTTTATTGATTTCAGAGAGAGGGTGGGAAAGGGAGAGACAGAAACATCAATGATGAGAGAGAATCATCAATTGGCTACCTCCTGCAGATCCCTACTGGGGATCAAGCTCACAACCTGGGCATGTGCTCTGACAGGAAATTGAGACAGTGACCTTCTGGTTCATGGCTCGGTGCTCAGCCACTGAGCCACACTGGCTGGACTTCTGGATCTTTTAAAATTCTCCCAAATTAACCATGTTTACTAATAAGGGGAGACCATTTTTAATGGACTGTTTTCTTCTTCATATACTTCTTGAGAAGATTCTCAGGAAAAATTTCAGTTTCATTTATATTTTGCTTTTTCCTCATTTTCTTTTCAGTACAGGAAAGAGAAATGTCAAAACCCTGTGTACCCAATCCATCTCCAAGTAGAGATGTATTTTTTTTGCAAAAGGCATTTCTTTTTCACTTTTGAAACGTTATTTCTTCCACCTCACCTGTCTTCTTAGGATGATGATACAATACCAGAGCATATTTCTCAGCTGAAAGGACCAGGTCAGTTACATAAAATAGTACATTTTACACTAATGAGTATATGATAAGATGGTTTTAAATGCCTGACAAAGGTCAATCACATTGTCTTTACTAGAATGATTACATGCCTCTTATGGTGGGCTCTGTCAGCTTTCTCTATACAGGGCTGCTCTCTGAATCTATAAATATTACTACCACTATTACGAAATTTTGGCCCATGTGATTTCTATCCTCTGTATCTGCCGTTCTTAACAGTCTATCACCTTTGCCTTATGGGTATGCTGTAGAGGTGAGCAGGAGGAAAAGAAGTTTTGCGGGGAGGAGGGACCAGAGATAAGTGCCAACTATTAGTACTCTCTTAATGAGGACCACTGTCGGAGTTAAAGATGTGGGGGAAGAGGAAGGCAGACGAGAGAGGACTTAGGGTGACTTGGGAATAATCAAAGCAAGAGGATTGGGGTAGGAGCCCTGCTAAGAATGTTCTATATGACATCTTGGACTCAATACTTATGTAATTAAATTGTCAATGTTTCTAAGGCCCATTAATCCCAAACTCTGATCCCTTCATGTCATAAAACTCCAGGTGCCTATGTGTCCTAGCCTTGTAGCCTTCTACCATTCTTCCATTGATGAGATGGAAAATGAATCTGAGGAAATAATCATTTGATTATTTAGCTCCTCTCAGGTGGGATAAAGATAGTCATGTGGCAGGAAGTGCTGTGCAGAGAAGGTGCTCTGGGCCTCGGTCCCCCATCCACCCAGGCCAACTGCTGAAGTTCTGGTACGTGGCTCCCACTGCATAGCCACCAAGGTGAACTGGAGCATCAGATTAGTCTGTAGGAGTCACCTGGTTGTTCCTCTTCTGATGTTACAGTACCAAGGACAGGAGTGGACAAGGGGTCATTAGTGAGACAGAACTGTGAAGGATGAGGAAAAATGCCTGGTTCTGGCTGGGAAGTTACCAAACTGTTAAAATCCAGTTCTTCTCGACTATGTCATTTCTCCCTGTGAGTGTCCTTTACTACTCACATGCATTTCACTTCTGGTCACCAGGAGCGTAGAGGCTTTCCTCTAGACCAGCGGTTCCCAACCCGTGGGTCGCGACCCCTTTAGGGGTTGAACGACCCTTTCACAGGGGTTGCCTAAGACCATCAGAAAACACACACACACATATATATATAGTTTTTGTGATTAATCACTATGCTTTAAGAATGTTCTATTTGTAACAATGAAATTGGGGGTGACCACGACATGAGGAACTGTATTAAAGGGTCGTGGCATTAGGAAGGTTGAGAACCACTGCTCTACACCAAGCAGTTCTCTGTGACACCAGCTGGGTGTCCCACAATTTAATTCAGTTCTGACACTGTCGACATGAAGACAGTGTCAGAGGCCACAGGCCAAGCGCTCAGTCCCACAAGAATGTCTCCTCCCCTCACTCACCCCCCACACACCCTTCAGAAGCTGGTCACAAGCCCAGGTTAGCACCTCTGCTTCTGACCAACTGACTACTGGTGCCCGTGAGGCCTGAAAGGTTGGCGACCGCTGGATTAGAGGTTCCAAAGACCCACCCTCCTTGGGTTTAATTTCCTAGAGCAGCTCATACAACCTGAGGAAACACTTATGCTCTGTTTACTAAAAGGTATGATAAAGGACACAGAGGAAAACCCAAATGAAAGAGACACAGGGCAATGTATGTGGGATGGGGATGGAGCCTCCATGCCCTGTCTGAGCACACCACTCTCCCAGCACCTCTATAAGTTCACCAACTTGGAAGTTCTTTGAAGCCCAGAGATTTGGGGTTTTATGGTAGCTTCATCTCTTAGCTCCACTTTCAAGCCTTCTCCCTTCAAGAGAATGAGGGGTGGGGTGGAGGCCTGAAAATTCTAGGCTTCTATTCATGGTCTTTCTGGTGACCAGTCCCCATCCAGGAGCCATCAAGGTGCCCACCCAGTCATCTCATTAGAACCACAGACACTTCCATCACCCAGGAAACTATAAGGTTTCAGCTTTGTCAGGAACAGAGGTCAAAGACCAATATTAAAACAAGAGATGCTCCTAGTGTTCATATCACTTAGGAAATTACAAGGGTTTTAGGAGCTGTGTCAGGAACCAGGGGCAAAGACCAAGATACCTTTTCTATTATCTCAGATAGTATCTGTAGTTCAAATCTCACAAGCCTATCCCTTAGGAGTCTTTAAGATCTAAGAACATCTATCATACATATCCCAGGGACCTTCTGCTATTTCCCTCGCCCCCATTCACAGCACACACACTTCTCCAAATAGCCAAGTCTTTCATCTATTCCCCATGGATATGGTTGTCTCTTTCAGAGTAGCTACAGATCTGAGCATCTTCCTTTAAGTATGGTGCCTAGATGGAAAAATATTCCAGGTATGAAACAGATAAGGGCTTTCATTAACTACCTCTTCCATTCTATATTCTACCACCTGAAAGATTAAAGTACTATAAAGAATTTTATAGTACTTTGGCTTTGAAACATAGGGCCCAAATTTTATTAGTGGTCATGTTGGCTGAAATGTTAAGCAAGTTACTAAATACCTCTGGGACTTTAAAAAAAAAAAATTAGAGAGAGGAAGCTCAGAGGAGAGACATCAATCTGTTGCCTCCTGTACACTCACCAGCTAGGGATCAAACCCATAACCTAGGTACGTGCCCTGAACGGAAACTGAACCCATAACCTTTTGGTGCACAGGATGATGCTCCAAACAACTGAGCCACACTGGCCAGGGCCCTCTGAGCCTATTTTTGTCATCTATAAAGAGTGTTTTATCTACTCTCCCACAGGTATGCTGTAAGAGTTTGTAAGTGCTTAATATAGTGGACTTCGGTAAGGGGTAACTAGTTTAACAGTATAAGACCATATCTCTTAGTAGTCATACTATTTGTTCTTACTCAACTGTTACTATGTTGACAACAGAACCTACTCAGGCTAGTTTAGCAGAAATAATTTATACCACGACTCAGTACACGCATAAATAGGTAATTCAATCTTCATAGTATTTACCCACCTGACAAGTGTCACTCTGTTTTTCTATTCAGTTTAAATGCTAGTTATGACCCACTGTGCTATCATGACTCACTAATGAATAGCGACCCACTACATTGTCGGGTATTAAATGGCCTAGAGAACCACTGGGTGGGCAGCAACAAACTCTAGCCTGTGCTTCTAGAACCTGGGCAGCCAGCTCCGGCAGTCTGCTGTGTGACCCCACATACAAAAATGATGCGTTGGAGTCCCACACTAGTGTACCTGACTGACAGCCTGGTGCAAAGGGGTCTGGGAAATGAGTATAGAAAGCACACCTAGAAGTTTGCCAATGTTAATCAAACAAATCCACAGAAATGAAATGCTGCTTAAACATATTTAAGCAAAAGTACATGGGTTGGACAAACTCAGTGGACTAAGCATACATCATTATATTTAGTTTATCCTGATTAAATTCAATATTTCCTTGGATACAGCCTATTATTGCTATTGCAGTGAGGGAAACCAATATACTAACTACAACTCGTACAATTCACTTGATGAAACAAAATCTGGAGAAATAAACCAACTGGAAATTTCCAAGTTATATTTCCTTTCACAAACATACTCTTCCCAGTCAACCTGGGGTCTACCAAAGGAAGATAAAAAAATCACTAAAAATAGAAAAAGAAACTGATGAGTCCCTTCTTCCCACTCTCACCAAGAAATCCTAAGCTTAAAAGTTTAGACTCTCCCCCCACCCTCTCTCTCTCTACACACATCCACACACACACACACACACACACACACACACACACACACACACAGAGTTTTTATACAATAAAGAGAACAAGGAATAACTTTTTTTATTATCTTTTAGTTCAGTTTACATAATAATTTGTATCTGTGAAAGAATTCAAATTTATTGAATAAAAGGCTTTGCTTATGATCTATAAAACAAACCGAAGAATAAGTTGTTGAATGAGTAGCATTTAGTGAATAATACAGTTCTGGGGACCTATAACTGATGTACGTTTGATTGAAAAAACAAACTATTAGGTTACCATGAATATTTATACAACAACAAATGTAGAAAAACACAAAAAGGTTCAATGTGATCCCAACAGATTACCTTTTTCCTTGATCATAAGAGAACCAAGTAGAATTCTTTTTTAGAATCTAAAGCTGTTAAGTTTACAGGAGTGCAAAACACCAAACAAAAACTATTTCTCATTTTCTATTCTTGGCATAAATTTTAATTTTTTCCAGTAGAACCAAAACCTCCTGAGCCCCTTTCAGTGTCATCCAAAACCTGAAAAGATAAAAGGTGGTAAGCCATCTGGTTAATTTCAGATCCTCTCAGTTCTCCCCAGCTCCTCATTAATAAGACTTTCATTCCTGCTAATCCATCTTTAAAAAAGATTACAGAAAACCAAACTAAATTTTAGTTCCATAAATTTAAATATTGAGTAATTTTCAAAAAAGCTAAGGAAATAGAATTTCACAGTACATTTAAATGATTTATTACCCAATATAATGCTATATGATAGCCATGAAAATCATCAAGAAATTCTACAGCTAAGATTTTAATTTTGCTTAAAAATGGGACTAGTCATATATGCTATTTAGTTACAGATAGCATATTAAATCTCACAATTTTAATTTCCTTCACTGATCATTCATTCCCTACTCAGTTTTTATGATACTTACTTGAACTTCCTCTATTTCTGGATAAAAAATCCTTTCACAAATGAGCTGTGCAATTCGGTCACCCTTTTTTACTTCAAAGAGAAAAAAACACACAAAAGTGTGTTACTGATCTTTTATTAATGCATTCTCTGTACTCTGCCTTATACAACAAGAACTACAGCATGTGCCATTTAGAAGTACATAATTTGGAAAACTCGCTGCATCTACGTGACCATATGTATTTAACATACCTTCAAATTTTTCTTTGCCAAAATTAAACAGCACAACACCAAGATTTCCTCTATAATCTTCATCTATAACACCAGCTGGAGAAAAGAAAAATAATGTTAATTTGTTTTATGCTACCAAAACACTAAGAGTGTGCAATTACCTCAAAAATCACTTATGTGGCTCTGAGATTTTTACAGATTTTTAAAAATTAATATTTAGAGAGATAGGGAGAGAGAGATAGAAACATTGATGAGATGGAAATATTGATCAGTTGCTCCTGCATGGCCCCCTGGTGGGTTATTGAGCCTGCAACCTGGGCTTGTACCCTGACTGCAAATCGAACCAGCGACCTCTCTTGATGCATGGGTCAACGCTCAACCAGCTGGGCCTTACCAGCTGGGCATGGCTCTGAGATTTTTATACAACTGAGTAAGCATCTGGTAACTACGTAAAGCATCAAAACTAAGAAATCTTACTAATATGCAAATAAGAATTTAGAAGGTAGTCCTTATTTTCCAACCGGTTACCCTTACAAATGGTGACAGTTTCCTACTCTAAACTGCGAGCAGGCACTTCGCAACTCAGACAGGTGGTCCTGAATTGCTCTCCAAACCCACTGTCTACCCGCTGCACACCTGCCAAAAAAGAGCAGGAGAAAATTATGATTTGGATTTTAAAGGCTTTTTCTGGTGGCAGCTTCCTACTAATCTCCACATTGAAATATGATTGAGTCATAAATAAAAATGTCTGAAAAGCCTGAAGATCAGCAGTGGAGTAAGTCAATGCTGACATCATTAAGCAGCCATCTACCAAATATCAGCACATTTCATTTCTATAATAAAAATGGAGCTGAAAGTTTTAATTTAAGTCACCACCTTTTCTTAGAGAGTGATCTCTCAGAAGACATTAACACATTAGCTTAATAATGAGCACACTTTTACTTAGAATCCTGTATAATTAGTACCTGTTTGAGGCTAAACACAAGAGCAAAAGAGAAATGTAAGCCAGAGCCCAGCTTTGGCCCAGAGAAGTACATTCACCAGACTTGTTAGCACTTATCTTTGAGCCAGGAATTTTAAATGTTTCCATAAATACAAGCACAGATAATATAGGTGGCACCAAGGCCTTTTCATTTCCTTTTTTTAACATTGAAACTTAATTCACAATTCAACCATTTTTAGTGTATTCAGAGTTGTACAACCAACGCCATAATCAATTTCAGAATATTTTCATTAGCCCCAAAGAAACCTCCTATCTACTAGCAGTCACTCTCCAATCTCCCCTCCACTCCTACCAATTTCCTTTATACCTGCTAATTCTTTTCCCTTGGTTTGTAAAATGCTGGATAGAATTCATGCAAACCTAATTCAATGCAGGTCCATGTAATGTCTATCTAGTAACACCTACCTTCTAAAAGAAACAAACAAACAAAAAAAAACACAAAGCCAAAACAAAAAAAAACACCCTCTTATCAAAGGAAAAAAGGAAATAAAAGTAATCAGGAACTTAGCTCCATGGGTACCAATGCAGTTGGCAGGCTTCATTATTTAAAGGTCAACTGAAAAAAAAAAACCTTTTTTTTTTAGAACAAGGGTAAGCATTTCCTTTCAATTTTCTCATATAGGGGGAAGGGGAGAAAGTAAATTAAAAAAAAATTTTAAAAAGTTCCACCATAGGAAAAAAAACAAAACTCAGAAAAATCAACATTTTAGATTTTTCCAGCGGATCCCAGGAGAAGTTTAAATTAACCCCTGTGCTTTATGAATGAATTACTAGGGATGTGAAATTGAATTTAAGTATTTCTTAAAACAGTCTTCCTTTCTACTTATACAGCAATGACTAATTCAAAGAATACTGAAGCCTGATTTCTTTCCCCATTATCAGCTGACCATTAAATTTGTCCTTAATATTTACTGATACAATTAAGACAAAAATGGGACCAACTCTTTCCTTTAGATCTATGTGCAGAGAATTTTGGCTGCAGGAATAAGTAGATGAGATTTAATGCAGAAAGCCCTCAGCAGGATATGCTATCCATGGTCTGTACAGATGACCATCGAAGGCAATGGAATCCCATACTGCAGGGCTTGGAGTACAGACTAGGACTCATTTATCTAGAATGTGCAAGATAAGACAATGTGGATTGACTTCTGAATTCTTTTGTTCCTATTTTACCAGAACATTTTTAGATTACCCAAATAGTACAGATGCATATAAAGTAAAAGCTAATAATGTTCCCCTACCCTCCCTCAGGTAGCCAATATTACAGTAATCTACATAATAAAAAAGCCTAAGCAACCATTACCACTGGTCTCCACCAATTACTATGACAACGCACTGACCACCAGGTGGCAGATGCTCAACCCAGGAGCTGCCCCCTGGTGGTCAGTGCACTCCCACAGCCAACCTCCCACAGTCTCTGCCCCTGGCTGGCCCGCTCTGATAGGCCCTGATTGCTGGCCAGGCTGAGGGACACCACCCGTGCACGAATTCGTGCACCGGGCCTCTAGTATATTTTATACATTACTTTCTTTTTTGCCACATAGACATTCTTTGAGACTAATATGCATGTCTTAGTCATTCTTTTTAAATCTAAGATATATAGGACCATTATTGTATGTATTTCTTAAATATTATCACACATTCATGTTATTTTCACACTTTGCTATAACACACAGAGCAGCCCTGTACATATGTCTTTGTGTATTACTGCTTTTTATCCTCATCAAATAGTTTCCAAAAAGCACTTTTCTGGGTCAAAGGGTGTGTACATTTTAAATTTTAGTGGACAATTTTCAAAAAAAGGTGTAGCACTTCAAACTTCCACCAACGGTATTTAAGAAGGCCCATTTCCAAAGTCTTTGCAATACCAGAGGTAGCAATCTTTTTAATTCCAGCCAAAGTAATGAGAAAGAAATGAAATGGTATTTCATGGCATTACTTTGCATTTCCCTGGTGACTAGCGAGGCTGGACTTTTCCTCCTCCATGATTGCTGCGTACTTGCATGTTCTCTTCTATATTTTGTTTATATTTTTTTCTAATCTCTTTGGGTATTTAACTCTTTTGCATATGACTTAAGTATTTATTTTTTTAGTCTATGCTATCTCCTAAGATACAAAAACACTCCCTTTGTGTAAAGGCCTTTACTATCTATCTATAAAGTTGTTTTATCAAACTCAAATGGTTGGGTTTTGAATTTTGAATTCTGCAATGCCAGGTGATCCACCAAGATTTTATGCGCAGCACACAGACATGGGAAAACCTTCAACTAACTAAAAGAAATGAAGTTGTTTGAAGTCAATTAAAATGTATGGCAGGGAAAAAAAGCTCACAATTAAATTTACTTTTTAGCATGAATGCCAAAAGTATTAAAAAACAAAACAAAACAAAAACAGTTCCAAGTTCACTTATCACTCAAAGGCAACTTGACCTTCAAGAAAAACCCACATAGTAAGGGACACAAGTTACACCAGGGATATTTCTCTTCATGAGAAAGCAGCAAGTGTTTTGAAGTTATCACTGGAAAAATCATGCATTGGAACTGGCAGAGTGATTAACTGACTTCAGGCAATGTTTTACTCTGTCAAGACTTTGGCATGTCGTTTGTTGGAAACCTTTAGTGAAAACTATCCACACCTACCAGATGTGAGTTCTGAACAGAATCCTGCATACTCAACTTTTCCCTTTGACCCTTATTTACAGCCTGGGATTTCTAACAACATCTTTCTTCTGAAATAAAAACTGTGGCCAACTGTGATAGACCTGTGCCTAAGAGACATTTTTAAGATACTTTGCATCCAAGAACACACCACAATGTGATTTTATAAATACCAAACCAATCACCAGGCAAACTAACTTTCCATTTCCTTTACATGAATTTTTTTCAGAGGGTTTGCTTCAACAGAGCAAAAATTATTAACAAAGTTTCCACATTAAAAAAAAAAAGTCTGTGAAGTCCCTAGGGCACAGGAAATAGAACTTCCAGGATTTAATATGAGTCAAATAGTATTAGAGTTACATACATTAGCATTTAATCCTCCAACCCTTCACAGGTGTGCACACTAATTTTCATTGTTTTCTCCAAAGCCCATGTGCTTTTCCCAACCCTTTGAAATTTCTTTTTAAATATACACAATTTTTATATCCTTAAATTATAGTCCTAAATTACCATACTTGACCCTATATACAAGTATTTTTGAAAATCACACATAACTGAGCCCAGGTAATTAATCTTCAATCCCAGGGGGTGGTCCATCCCTGTTTGTGTCAAACTCAGCTTCCCTTAGGAACTGCTTTTGGGCTCTTGTCTTGTCCCACAGCACCACCTAGTGACACCATGGGGAGACTAAGGGGCAGGCAGGAGATAGTTCAAGGACAGGTCTCAATTGTGCTTATAACGTATGCAGTGCATGTGACAATGAGCTAACTCAGGACAGACTATGGCCGGTGGTGGATGGGCAGGGGGATCAACAGCATTAGATGGTGGTGGAAAGAACAAGTGGAGTGAAATCATATGGATGGAGATTCCAGGTTTTTACTGTGTCTACTTGGACTCATCTTTGAGCCAGTTTTCTCATCTGTCAAAAGTAGCTTCAGCATGTTAGTGAAGCACTCGCTATTATCAATGGGGATAAGGAGGGTCCGGACATAACCTTGTCAATGGGGCCTATCACCAGTAATGAGATCCAAGTAAGGGAGGCATATCAGGAAGGTGAGAATTTCCGTTCAGTAAGATCATACAAGGATGGCCAGCAGAGGAGACTAAGGTTCCCTCATGAAAGGGGTCTGGTGAGGAAATTGTTGACTTTGGGAGACACTGAGTAAGGCTTTGTTATAAGGGAATAGGAGCCATGGAGGACTTGCTCAGCAAGAAATTGAAACAGGCCCAGCTGGTGTGACTCAGTGGTTGAGCATCAACCTATGAACCAGAAGGTCAGGGTTTGATTTCCTGCCAGGGCACATGCCTGGGCTGTGGGCTCGATCCCCAGTGTGGGGCATGAAGGAGGCAGCCGATCAATGATTCTCTCTCATCACTGATGTTTCTATCTCTCTCTCTCCCTCTCTGAAATCAATAAAAATATATTATTAAAAAAAAAGAAATCGAGTCAGGAAAGGACAGTGTCTTCTCTCTTGACTTTAGGGAAAGATTCTCCTTTTATCTTTTGACAAACATGGATACCTCTCTTAAGGAGATAAGAAAAATCTTACTTTAATATATACCTACATTTCTAGAACCTTTTGCTTAAGTGACATAAAAGCTCTTCCTTCTCATAATAATAAACTTTCTTCTATAAATGGAGTCATGTTTGGACTAAATGCAGATTAACACTAAACCAAGGCAAAAACCCTATCTGTCAGAGAGTGTCTAGTTAGCCCAGTAGTAAAATAACATACATTTCACATAATGGTCATTTAAAAACTAAACATATTCAAATAGCATTTATAACTATCATGATTTTGTCTTTTATTCAGAGACTGAAATTTCTAAAAGGCAAGACACAACAGAAACCATTTCCTTTTCTTGAAATAAAATAAGAATAAAATTTGGCATTAGATTACTTCCTCTTAATAAGCAAATGCAAAGTAAATACTTAGAAATATTTACAGAATAAAAATGTAAATACAATACCTCCTACATCTATAAAGTGTTTTGCAGCCAAGCCGGATCGTGGAGCTAAAAAAAAAGAGAGAAATTGGCTATTTTAAGGGGGAAGGGCAATTACTTGATATAATTGACACAATTTAAGCATGTTATTACTCTTATTTCCTATCATTGATATCTTCATCTTCACTTTACTTACTACTCTGTATTACCAAAGTAGAAAAGAATAGTTTAGAAAAATCTGACAAGGTTTAATCTGAAGCCAACTTAAGCCAGTCCATCCAAGTTCAGTCAGTGGAGGACTAGGGTGGTGCAGCCATGGACTACTAGAATGAACTGAAAGGTGAGCAAGTGGGACAACCGTAGGCGACTCTGTGAAGCAGGGCCACAGTGGGAGGACTGTAGCTGGCAGGGGCACAGAACTGAGGAAAAGGACTTTGTTTTAAAATGAGAGTTCTGAGCATGTGGTAATGTAGATGGGAAGAAGGGGATATGGGAGAGGAAGAGGGAGAGGGCGAGGGGGAGAAGAGTCATAAACCTAATCAAAGAGTAGCAGAGCCCAGTCTAGAACTTGGGGCTCCAACTCATGATACAGATGCCAGAAGACATGTCCGTATATAACAAGTGAACCAGAGTAAAAGGCTTAATGTCAGTTGAAAAAAATGCCAAAAACTAAACCTTAGAAACTCAATTTACTATGCTTTTTATTCTTATTATGCCTTTTATTCTTAAAAAGAAAATATAAAAAGCAGGGGTGGGAAGAGATCAACCAAAGAACTTGTATGCATATATGCATAACCCATGGACAATAAGGTGGTAAGTGCCTGGAGTGGGGCATCAGCAGGTCTCATGGCCAACAAGATAATGATACTCTTGCTATCACTTCCCACCCAACCCTGGGACACGAGGGTGGGCACAGTTCCACTTGCTCCTTAGGTTTACTTTAAAGGTAGTCAGGAAGTAATTATGCTTTTGAAAAGAAGTTTTAAACTCTCTCTCCAGGGACAACTGCATCACTCTAGGAAAGTCGAATCTGAGAACTTACGCTCCATTTTGTCTTAGCTCCTCCCCTGTGAGGTGTTTCCCTAACACACTTCAAGGGGGCAAACCCTTCAGGGAACAGGCTACGTGGCCGGATATACTAACAGGTTTTAGAAGTTCACTCTCGTGATATAAAATGCCATGTGCCATTATCCTGAGCAGGCCTCTATTTTCTTAAATAACAAATATTAGCCATTCTCATCACCATCTTCACAAAGAAATCTTGACTTCATATGCAGTCTGGTTTTTGAAGGGGGAGTTGGTGGTAATACTGGAAAAAGTGACAGTTAAATATCACCTATATTTTCAGTTTTTCTCACAGCGAGAACCTCTTGAGCCAATGTGAGCCTTCTAAGAGCTAAAGTAAGGAATCGGAAAAATAGCAGAGATAAGAGACAAAAGCAGATATAAGCATACCTTGTTTATTGTGCTTCGCAGATGTTACATTTTTTACAAATTGAAGACCCACCATTAGCAGAGAGATTACAACTTGCTGAAGGCTTAGATGGTTAGCATTTTTTAAGCACTAAAATATTTTTAAATTAAGGTATGTACATTTTTAGACATAATGCTATTGTATACTTAATAGACTACAAAAGAGTGTAAACATTAACTTTTGTATGAACTAGAAAACACCAAAAATCACGTGACTTGCTTTATTGCAATATTTGCTTCATTGCAGTGCTTTGAGACGGAACTGGAATATCTCCAAAGTATAATTATGTAAATAAAAGTTTTCAAATGGCTGCATTTGCCATCACAGTTGGCACTTCCTTATTTTAGGACTCAGGCCAAGAAATATCCCTTCCCTCTTTCATACCCCAGATAAAACTAAGATGAAGGAACGTATCACAAAAACATCTTGAATCACTTACCTACTCTTCCATAGCACCCAGAAGGAAGAGCTATTTGAATGTCGGTTTTCACAAGGGTTTTCTCCATGGGTGGTATTGTGTAATCATAGGCACTGGAAAGATATTGAAAAAACAAAACACAAAACACTGGCATTTAGATGTAGTGACTTTTTTCTGGTGAAAGAGGTGACAATATATAAATGCATTCTCCCCTGAACAAAATTTGGTTGGGAAACTGAGGTAATGATTTAGCAGGAGGGGACAGAAAAGATGAACTTTTAAAAAGTATGTGCTTCTCTAACATGGTATGAAAAGAGGAAGATAAAGAGAGAACAAGGAAGGAGGGTAAATAATAGCTAACATTTATAAAGCCCTTATTATGCCCCAGGCACAGTTCTGTTTTTTATAACTCATGTTAGTCTCACAACAATCCCCTAAGGCAGCGGTTCTCAACCTGTGGGTCGCGAACAATGAAAATACATCCTGCATATCAGATATTTACATTACAATTCATAACAGTAGCAAAATTACAGTTATGAAGTAGCAACGAAAGTAATTTTATGGTTGGGAGTCACAACATGAGGAACTGTATTAAAGGGTCGCGGCATTAGGAAGGATGAGAACCACTGCAAGGGATTATGAAAAACATGCAGAGAAGGAAAGGGGGCAATGGGTGGGCCACCTAACTGGGGACAGCTGGGTTGCATCTGGTCTGCTGGTGTTGGTGGGTTGGCAAGCACACCCAGCTGCGGCCATGACCTTTCACGGGCTGCGGGGAGAGCGGACCACTGTGACCAGCCCTGGAGATGCACACTGCTGAGGAACTGATGCTCCAAGGTCCACCCAGCTAGTGCTGCTGCTGTTTTTACTGTCGCCCCGTCTTTGATAGAAATTTAAAAATAAGCAGAACTGGAAGTCACTTTGAAGACCTTCATTAAGACTGGTAAAGCGGTAGTGTATCTTTCTTCAATGAAATTTGCTCTCTTCAAATAGTTACACACTAATTTATTAAAGAGATCCATGTCTATTTCAGTATAAAAGATGCTGAAAGTACCTTAAATCCACCTCTTCTTAGATCAGAACAGTGCCCAGACATGGTACAGTCAAACTACGTGTTATACTATTTCTACTTATGAAAATTAAGGGGCTGAACTATAGTCCCTTTCAGCTACAACAGTCTATACCTCACTTTTCTTTTTCTTTCTCTTCTCCCTATCATCACAGTTCTTTCTCCTCTTCTCCTGTACTCACTTACTTATGACTTAGAGCATAGTTCTCAGGTTAGAATTACCTGGAATGCTTTAAAATGCATCCTAAGGCTCAGACCACTCCCTACTCCAATATCGCTTTTCACTTACCTTAATGGCCCTAAGAAGTGGGCACATGAGTCCAGTGAAAAAAGGCACTTATTAATTCAGGGTCAAAAATTCTCCTACATTCAAGCCTTTGGATTAATCAATTCAGCTCCTTACAAACCCCTCACCTGTAAAACGTAACATTCACCTATTCAGACTGTTGTGAGGATTTAAAAATATATAAAGTTTTTAGTATAGGTAAAAAGTATAGAAGTGAAAAGGGGGGGAGTATTACTAAAATTTCTGCTTTTCCTATTCAAGCCCCTTGTGAAATTTCCAGTCCTTGGGGCAAACTTAAACATGAACCTACGGAGAAATTTTATTCACGCGCTTTAAACAAAAGCAGCCTTCACTGATCCTGCCTAGGTACGTTCACAGTAAGCACCTAGGCGCCACCCTGGCTTGTCCTTCTATTATGCACAGCGCCATGCTCGGGCCTTGAAGGGCAAGGCGTGCCTTAAGCAACTCTACCTTCCACTCGGAGAGGATGCAATCAATGTTGCAAAACAACGCCGCAGAGAACATTTCATGTTGCAAAATAACGCCTCAGGGCACATTTATGAATACTTATTTGCTATCCTACACTCTTTGCCCAAATGCCTGTTAAATTCAGGTTAAAGAGGAAAGCTAAAATTTCCCAATATAAAAAAAAAAGGCGGAAACTGTACATATATGCAAAAAACGTCTGTAATCTTTGAAATGGAAGTTTCAAGCCGTGGCAGCAGAAGGTAAGCTAACGTGACAGAAAGCTCTCAAGTTCGGGAATTAGCCCTGGCCGGTTTGCTCAGTGGTTAGAGCGTCAGCCTGCGGACTGAAGGGTCCCAGGTTCGATTCCGGCCAAAGGCACATGCCTGGGTTTCGGGCTCCATCCCCAGTGGGGGATGTGCGGGAGGCAGTCGGTGGATGATTCTCTCTCATCATTGATGTTTCTCTCTCTCTCTCTCCTTCTCCCTTCCTCTCTGAAACCAATAAAGAAATACATTTAAAGTTCGGGAATCAGCCTTCTCTGCGGGGGGCAGGGAAAGAGGGGGCAGAAGGCGGCCTCCCCCGGCCCTCCGCCGGGCGCTCACCTGTACAGGTCGTAGCCCGCGGCGCGCGCGGACCCCTTGGTGGGGGCGGTGGCGTGCTCCGAGAGCCGCACGAAGCGGAGCCGCAGGCCGCCCTCCTCCGCCGGCCGGGGCCGCTTGCTGGGGGAGACGGCGAGCGTGTCTTCGGAGCACGGCATAGCGGGGTAGACGGCGGGCAGCGACGGCGCAGGGGAACAAGAGCGAGAGAATGAGCCCGGCCACCCGCCCAAATTCTGAATTTCCCGCCCGGAACGCCCCGCCACACCCCCTCCCCCTGGACGAGCGCACCAAGGGGCTGAGAGGGGAGCAGGGAGGGGCTGGGAACGCTTCTCCGAAAACAGACTTGGGATCGCAAACTACTGATCATTTTTGAACTTTCCGAACGTAGCACACGTGTCCAGTGCAGGGGCAGCTTCGGTGGCCTCCCCCGCACACAACTGGAACCACGCCACCCCCGGGGTGACCCGAATGGCCTCGCTCCCGCGCCCGGGGGCTGCGCGCCCTGCCGTAACGCGCTAAGTCCCGGAACTTCCCCGGCCCTGCTCGCCCGCCGCCCTCCACCCAGGCTCCGGGGCGGGGCCCCTCCTCCCCACGCCTTAGGGAGCCCGGCCCCGACATTACTGGCGCCGCGACATCCTTGGCTCAGGCTGCGAGCGCTGGACACAGGCCCGGAGGCCCCGGGCGGCGCGGCGCCCAGCGGGGCGGGGCGGAGGGGCCGGCTGGGCCCGCGGAGTCCCGCCGTCTCGGCGCTCGGGCGTGGGCTGCGCGCGTCTTTAAACGCGGAGCGGAGCAAAGAGTGAAGGAAATCGTAGCCGAGCCGGGGGCGCGGGCGGAGGGGAGTCATCGGCCCGAGGCACAGGCGCTGGTTGGCTCTTCCGCTCCCGCGGCGCCGCCGGGCCGGCCGCCTTAGGGCCGTCGGGGAAGCGACTCGGAAGCAGTAACGGCGAGGGGCGCACGGAGGCGGTGCGTCGCCGCTATTGGCCCGGCCTGGGCCTTGGGAACGTGGCGCACACTGTGTCCGGAATGCGGCTGCCTCCGCCTCCCTCCTAGTCTCGTGTTTGTTTGTTTTTCTTTTGTTTGTTTGTTTTTTGTTTCGTGTGCGGTTTTTTCCCGGCCCCTTTTGCTGAGACTACCCTGGAGTCCCCTGCCCGGGCCCTGCCCGGCTGTTGACTCACCTGGGGCGGCGCCGCCCGAGGCCATGACTTCCCAGGTACTAACCTCAGGGGCCGCGAAAGCCGCGGAGCCGCCTCACGCGGCGGGTGCGAGCCTCCGCGCGCAGTACCGAGCCCCGGGCTGTGCGGAAAGGAGGGTGTTCGATCCCCTCACTGCGCCGAGTGCGCGGGGATATTGTTACTTAGAGGGGGTCGGGCAGAGGCTCCAGGATCGCCGCAAGGACAAGTCCGGTGGAATCCTCGCACCGTCCTGATGCGCCCACAGCTGCCTGGAGCGCCCTCCCGCAGCCCCCACCCCCCACCCGTGGCTGTGATCCAGAGATCTGGGCCACCTGGGCTAACTTACGGTGGGAATGAGCAAATCGCTTTCTGTATAATAGTAGATTGACTTTTCTCGGTTACAGATATCTCCAGTTATCTCCGGAACCAGCGCAGAAATCTGAATACCGAGTTGTAATGCACTTCGACAAAATAAACACAAATTGTAGTGACAGGGCAGGAGCAATTTTAGAAAAATGGCAACCGTGTTAGAGCATTGTTGGGGAAGGTTTGAGATTTCCTTGGTGTGCCTTTCCTTAATGGCGGTGCCCACCTTTCCAGGCTCCTCCTAAGCGTTGGAATTCCTCTGGGTGAGGTTATGGGTTACTGTGTGCTCTCTCTTCACGTGGCTTTAAATATTGCCTCTACCCTGCGGACTCCCCAGATGTGTGCCTGCAGCAATATGACCTGGGCCATGCTGCTTCGGCCTCATCCAGAGCCATCGTCCCGCTCACCTGTGGTGGTGCTCAGGCCACCTGGCTTTTGAACAGTTTCTAGATGCACCTGCTTGGGAATCCATATGCATCCATCCATAGTCTGAGCTTCATGTGTTTCAAGTCTCAAATCATCTCAAAAAGGCCTTCCCTGACAAACTTACCAACTGGAATAGCTGCCCATTCTTCTCCATAGCACCGTTTTCTATCACAGTAATTAGTTTTTTGTTCTAAACATACCTCTTTTTACTGCAATCTGTACTTCTTTGTATCAGTGGTTCTCAACCTTCCTAATGCCGTGACCCTTTAATACAGTTCCTCATGTTGTGGTGACCCCCCCAACCATAAAGTTATTTTCGTTGCTACTTCATAACTGTAATTTTGCTACTGTTATGAACTGTAATGTAAACATCTGATATGCAGGATATATTTTCATTGTTACAAATTGAACATAATTAAAGCAGAGTGATTAATCACAAAAACAATATGTAATTATCTATGTGTTTTCCGATGGTCTTAGGCGACCCCTGTGAAAGGGTCGTTCAACCCCCAAAGGGGTCGCAACCCACAGGTTGAGAACCGCTGTTTTATATATTTACTAGGGGCCCATTGCATGAATTCGTGTACCTTGAACTGTGGGCTTGGAGGCTGATGCGGTAGACACAGGGGCAGGTCTCGGCTCATCCTCTGAACCCCCACCTGGGCCCTCCCACCGTGGCCCAGGTCCCCTGTCTGCCGGCAGCCCCACTCCTGCCACCACTTCTGCCACACCTTGAAGGTGCTGGCCCCACTCGCACCCACTGATGGCACGGAATGATTGGGGCCAGCGCCAGCAGCAGGTGCAAGCTGCAGCTGCTGCCCCGATCGTCCCTCAGGAGCAGGGAAGGTGGAGAAGCCCTTGAGCGATAGGGGCCGGCAGCCACCACTCGCACCCACTCACCATGCCAAGTGATAGGGACTGGTGCCAAGTGATAGGGACTGGCACTGGGTGTCGGCAGTGAGTGTGAGCGGTGGCTCTGGCGCTGGCAGCGGGTGCAAGAGGTGGCTGCCGGTCCCGATCGCCCCTCAGGAGCAGGGGGAGGTAGAGAAGCCCTGAGGAGCAATCGGGGCTGGCGCCAGGCGCCGGGCACTGGTAGCAGGTGCAAGTGGTGGCTCCAGTGCCAGCAGCAGATACAAGCGGGACTGGTGCTGGCAGCAGGTGCGAGCACTGGGTGGGACCGAGATGCACTGGAGCAAAGAATTTTCAGTAACCACCAGAGGCTTGCCCCAATGACAGTGACTAGCGCCCCACCTTGGTCTCTCCCCCCCCCCCCTGCCCCCACTCACCTGCTCCACCATCCCACCATGGCCAACGCCGCCATGTTCCTCGCGTGCCCCCTGGTGGTCAGAGCATGTCATAGCGTTCAGTTGTTCCACCAACTGAAGTACTTTCTCTAGAATCTTTCTAAGGAAGTTCACAGGTGAGAGAAATCATTTGAGTCCTTGCATATCTTATTCAGTCTATTTGCATACTAGCCTTTTATTATATAGGATTTTCCTGTTTACTATTTGCTGTAGTAGACATAAGCTTTATGAGTACTGGGACCACACATGACTTCATTCACCATTGTAGGCCAGCTTAGTGCCTAGCTCAGGAGGATGGTGCTGGATAAATATTTGTTGTATGAATGAATGACAGAGATCTCAATGTTTATTCCATTGGGCTCCTATATATGATCACTTCTCAAAGTCTTTTGATGTTCCTGTTTACTCCTTTAATTTTTAGTCCAAGGATTTTTTCCATATAATGCTTTTACAAAGGCCTACGATGAAAACCATCCATTCCTGCCCGCCCCTCTCCACAAATACCCTCCCTCAATCTCACTTTTCAGAGGCAACCCTTCAACTTTTGTGGGCTTTCTACTAGAATTTACCTCCCTATTTATAATTTATATTTTGCTATCTCTTTTTTTGTTTGTTTTTTTGGGGTTTTTAGAAATCATTATTGTTGAGATATCTCCCCCCGTTGTCACTCTCCATCCAGGTTCCATCCCACACCAGGTCTTCGCCATCCTATTGTCTGTGCATATAGGTAATACATATATGCCTAAAAGTTCTTTGGTTAATCTCTTCCTGCCTCCCCTTCCGCCTTCCCTCTGAGACTGTCAATCTGTTTCACGTTTCCATGCCTCTGGTTCCATTTTATTCATCAGTTCATTTTGTTCATTAGGTCCCTTGTTCCTTTCTTCTGGTTATTAGATTCAATTGTGATAGATATGTATTTATTGCCATTTCATTCATATTTTTAATCTCCCCCCCTTCTTCTTCTTAAAGAAGACCCTTTAACATTCATATAATACTGATTTGATGGTGATGAACTCCTTTAGCTTTTTCTTATCTGTGAAGCTCTTTATCTGACCTTCAATTCTAAATGATAGCTTTGCTGGGTAGAGTCATCTAGGTTGTAGGTCCTTGCTTTTTATCACTGAATATTTCTTGCTACTCTCTTCTAGCCTGCAAAGTTTAATGGCATAGAAATTATCTTCTGAATTAGGGTTGTTGAGATTCAGTCTATCGCCCCCTTCTCCACCCCATTCTTCCAATAGTTTTGAAGCAATTTTTGGATAAGTCAGCAGTTAGTATTTACTTTGTGGAGACTATGTAAGTATCATGCACTGCTGAGACAAATAATGTGATCTGATTATATTTTTTCACCTGTTCCCCTCAAGTTAATTACTTTGTTTTCTATTTGTCTTTGTTCGTGGTGCTGTATTTAATTCATCTGTTGCATGTTTTTATCAAATGCTTCAGTGGATCCAATACCTTAAACATCTATCACAGCAAATGAAACTAAAACACATAAAATCCTCTTATCAGTTCCATTTCCCTTCTCTTACTCCTCTATTCTGTTGCTCTAATGTGTGGAGGTGACCCTGTAGTCCTGTTGAATAGCTGTCATCCTGAGACTTCCTGGGACTTGCCCCACATTTGTATTGGAGCCCTGGTTTTATGGATCTAGTATCTTGCTCTTAGTTTACGTCCCATTTTGCTGAAGTACTTTCTCTAGAATCTTTCTAAGGAAATTCACAGGTGAGAGAAATCATTTGAGTCCTTGCATATCTTATAATGATTGTAATATTACCCAGATCCAGATAAAAATCACACTTCATTCATGAAATATCCTTATAGCCAGTAGTGAACTCTGCATTATCTTATCGCTTATAACACTATAAAATTCATTACCAATATACTCATAATTGTGTAATTGTCCCATATATATGAACTTTATCTTTCACATTGATGTCATACAGTTTTATGAACCCTTCAAAGCACCTACTTCAATGTATTACATAAAAAGTATTTGTTTGGCTCCTTATGATACCTAGCACCAAGAAAATATTCAGCTATTTCTTCCGTTACAGAATATATGGATACAGAAAGTGTTTACTTATTGTCACTTTTCATCTGAGATTATTTTAAATGGAAAAGAGCATAATCCAACGGGAAAGGAGTAACAGAATAGAGTTGTGAATCAGTCAGTATTTAATAAGACATTCCTTATGACAAATAAGAACTGACTATATCCTACCCATTGTCAATTTCATGCTGTT